CATTCCTGAAGGAGTTTCCAATCTGGGCGGCAGCGAATGGCAGCTTTCCCTGGTTGAACTCCAAAAGACGTTTGAAGTTGAGGAAGATTCCCTGAGCGGTTTCTGGCCTTAAATAGCTAAGGAAATAATGTAGACCCACAAATGATGAATATTTAAAAATTATAGCATGCAATCTAGTGGTGCCCAACATACCCTTGCATGTTGCCCCCAGGCCCAATGGAGGTCTGGAACATCAGGTTGAATGAGATGGGAGGTGTGAGGTCATTTCCTGTAATGGGAGACTTGACATTGTATTGCACAAACAAATCTGCTAACTCCTGCTGAGTGTAATTATCCATCTGAAAAAAATAATAATAGTAAACAGAACAAATTAATAAACAATTAAACAAATGATTACCCCCAAATATATTCTTGTGGATTCAGTGTGGACTTCCCTATTCATTATACATTGCCCAAGTGAGACATACCTGAGTGATGACATTCTCCATCTCAGTTTTCTTATCTGCCTTACATTTTTTGTCGCTCATTAATTTCTGTAGATGAGCTAAAAAGCAAAAGACAATGCATGCATTTTATTAGTAGTCGTAGTATTTATTTTTTATTTATTTAATTTCACCACAGGATATATTACTGCTACATTACTGTATATTCCCTGTATTAAAATGAAATATAAGCAGCGTTCATCATTTGGAAATTTTGAAATAGAAATTTCCTACTGAAACCATTTAAAGTTAATTGGCTTAAATCACCATGAACTATTAAGTAAATAAGTTACAGGTAGGTAAAATAAGTTACAGGTAGGTAAAACAGGTAGGTGCATTTTCATTACACAGCTTTTTATTTAATAAAAAAAAAAAAAAAAAAAGAGTGCAAGAAGAGTCATAAATATTTTCTAACAATACAAAAAGTTAACTTTGGCAACTTTAGTCCAGATTTAGCAGTTGTTAATATAAGAAACAATGACAAACCTTTAAGGAGGTGGTCGGCACGGAAACACTCTCCGTTCTTGACATCCTTGACCATGTAGTCGGCAAATTTATCCACATGTCCGGATGTCCTGAAACGTGACAAAAGCATTGAATAAGAGTTCCAGAGATGATGCCATGGCAACAGATTGAATGAACAGATTAAAGGGGAATAGAAAGCTGAATGCTCACTTGAGGACGGGTTCTGGTGTAAGCATGGTGCAGTCGATCTCCAGAATCTGCTCCTCCTGGATGAAGTGTTGCCTCCAGACCTGGAGGATATTGTTCTTCAGAGCACATCCGACGGGCCCAAAGTCATACAGCCCACTCACACCTTTCTCACACACACACAAAAAAAAAAAATTAGTTGATAACAAGTATAGGTTCTTTTTTTACTAGTAAAGAAGCTATTAAAATACTTTTAAATGGAGGAATTTTGTAAACAAACAGAAAATACTCACCGCCATAGATAGCAAATGCCTGATCGTAAAAGAAACGTCTTTTTAGAGTGTCTTCCATCTTTGTTCGATCCACAATGTCATCTTTGGGCTGTAAGGAAAGCTCCTGTAAAATGGAAAAAACTTATGTAAATCATTTGGATTAAAAAAAAATGGATTGAATAATTGGATAAAATAATTTGATTTTTTTTTTAAATATACTTTAAAATATAATTTATTTCTGTGATGCAAAGCTGTATTTCCAGCATCATTACTCCAGTCTTCACTGTCGCATGTCAAAATAGAAATCTTTTCTAACAATCCAAATTTCTTTACTATCAAAAAAAGAAAAGAAAAACTTGTAAACTAAAAAAAAAAAAAAAAAAAATTCTGTTTTTTTTTCTTTTTCTACAGACTTCAAATGTATTGAACCTGATAACTGAACACGTGACTTTAAGGAAACATGAAAGACAGAATAACATTTCTCACCTTGGCCTCAAGGATTCTCTTGCGAGCTTTCAGTTCTGCAACGGCCTTATTGACATCAACATCAGGAGCATTTTCTGCCTTCAACTGACGCACAAGATCACCCTATGTGGAAAAATAAACAATTTAGTATATTACTATGATTACTACATATTAAAATGCATATGTATATATCCATCAACATTTTCCTAGTCTGTGTTTTTCCCCACCCTCAATCTCCATTGGTCTCTGAATTGCTCATCTCAAACGTGGCACTGACAGACTGAATAATCCAACAGTAAAAACCCCAAATAAAACCACCACACTGTAATACACTTCCTGAAATATCACTTTTGCAAAAATGTATTATCAAGTTTTCCATAATAAACAATTTTAACAATTTTAAATAATATTGGGCCGCAGTACGTTCCTAAATGACTTTTTCTACCTCGAATAAAAAGCCAATACGTATTTATGCAATGCATGACTATGTGAGATAGTAATGCAGCATATTGCATAGCTTGTTATTGTCTTTCATTACCTGTTCCTTCACTGCCAGCCTCAAGGGAGCCAGAACCTCTTCAATATTGCTATCCATATTCTGTCCTCCCGTCATCTCCAGCCACGCGCTTCTCTTCTTCTTCTTCTTCTTCTCACACAAACAGCCCGACAGCGAGAGTGCTCTAAACGGAGGGGAAGCACACAGGCGTATGGGACTGGATCGGACCCTCGGAACAGTTCGGACGGTGGCGATCTGTGTACCGGTCCTGAGTAGGAGTGCTGATGTTGCGCTACGCAGAGACAGCATGGACCGAGAGGAGGAGCAACCACACCGCGGAACTGAATGATGAAATCCTTAAAAATGAGTAAGTGGGGGCAGGGATTCAGTTCGACACTTTCGCCATTTTTTTAGGTGTCATTGGATGAGTTTTAATTGAAAAATAGCAGATTCGACACAATATCTCAGATAATTTCTCTCGATAATAAATCGAAATTAAAAAAAAATTAAGTAAAATATAAATTAAATCCTACTTTAAATAAACAAATGTTTACTAATACATGAAACATTATAATAAATCGTTTTAAATAATAGGCTATTTTATTGACTTCTTGAAATTAACATCTTGTAAAAAAGAGAAAAATACACAGAACAATAAAACATATATTACAACGAAGATAACAATTAAAACACACACAAAATAGCTAAACAATATAAGTTCAAGACAAGAATATAATTATTAGTCCTTTTTTAAACTAAAATAATTCACACAATATCAATACTTAAGAAATAACATTAATTTCGTGGTTGTCGTGGTTGTCAATATTTACTATTGAGATCCATCGATAGAATGGGCCATTTTTATCTAATGCATTAACCGACACCTGCTTAAATGGCAAGGATAATTTGTCAATTTTTGGCTAGTCTAGATTACCCCACCCTAACATTAATAATTCATCAGTCAGTACAACATCCACAGTAGGCCTATACCTCAAGAATACACTTTAGAGAATATAATTAGAGAAGACAATTTACTTACAGTAGGCTATATGAATATGATGACATAATACAATTTACATATTGTATACAAATATTTCAATAATGTTAAAGGGATTCTAATATAATATAATCTCCTCTGCAATTGTTTCCTTAGACAGACACTTGTTTTGCGACATTCTTCATTTGTGAAAGCATCGGGCAAGATGAATACATCTGACTTCAGATTATCTCCTCCAATCTTCCTGGAGTTAACACATTATTCGGCCACAAGATGTCAGTGTAAGCACACATTCAAACACTGCCTCAACAACAACTAATAACAATCTAAAGTCACTTGCTACAAAGTAAACACTGCAATTACTCTACACATAAACGTCACCCATTAGTTATATAGACTTTCACTATTAGCTAAAAGAATATTCTGTAATACTTGAATGTTTTTGTAAATAAAACAACCATTAATTCGTATTTGTTTTTTAAAAATCCAAATTAATTTAGCAACTCAACAGAATAAGCACTAAACATGATATATATTTTAATGGCCTGTTGACATTATTTATCTATTTATAGTTACATTGTTTATAATATTTTATTCATATTAAAACGTTAAAAAGATACAAAAATGTAATACAGTATAAATAGGCTGTAAAACTTGAAGTGAAGGTTGCATCACAGACTGCCTTATTAAACATTCAGATCAAACACCCACCATCATAAAATATTCAGTATTCCTCCCACCTCTCGCCCTGTCATTAAAACATTTCTGAAATCACTGCAATTTCTTAGTATCTCATCAAAATCATTTCCCCTCTAAAGATTCTTCTGTTTAATGTAGCTATAGGCTAAAATTGATAATTTTCTTCACCACCAGATTCTTGAAATTTGATGTTTCATATAGGCCTACAGTAGCTTATGGTTTCCTGGTGGTCTGAAACAGGTTTGAAATTATTATACCCAAATGAACTATATGCAAACACACTATATCAAAAAGTGCTATAGCTAGGCTATGCATAAAGATCAGACCAGCTATAAAAAAATTGTAATAGCCTATATTTAACCTCTTGACCTGTAATACAGATTACTATGCTGTTTCTTTTCTTTTACTTAACACTTCTTTGTTAGATGGTTTTGATATGAAGCAAACTATGTAAATCCTAGCTTCTATTTGAACATATCCTTAAACAAGGGTCAGAAAACAACAAATGTATAAAATATCATTTATCTTGTTTCATCTGGTATCATGACATTATGCCACGAGATTCAACATTAGGTGCATAGGTCTTCTGTAAAATACGCAACAAGGAAAAAAAAGGGATTCGTTTTTGTTTTGTTTGTTTTAAGTGTACACAAACTTTTTATCACTCCCCAGTAAACACAGAACGTTCCCCTAACGTTCCCATATGGTTCCCATTTGGTTATTTTTTGGGAACTAAATAAGAACGTTCTAGTAACGTTCTCTGTAGTTTTTTTTTATTTATAAGTTTACCCCCACTTTTATGAGTGTAGCTGGTATCAAGTAAAAGTACTATAGGGTTACCCTTCCATGGTACATTTTTCTAAAGGGTAGTTTCACACGGTCAAATCATGTGTGTGACACACAAACACACACACACACACACACACACACACACACACACACACACATACACACACAGAGAGAGAAGGGGAGAGAGAAAGAGCGGCTGCAGATTTAGACTCTTTGTTATTACACACTCTGTCACTGATCTCCATAGTCCTGATTTCACACGAGGGCTGAAATGTCGTCGATTGCCGTCATCTGACAGGAGCATCGTCTTGCATCGATCGCCGTATGATCATGAAGTGTGTGTTGTATGTTTATGTGGATGCGGTGGTGTAAGATCGTGTGCGGTGTATGGTGCGTTTGCCATCTGGACACACTCCGCTAGCTCGCTAGCATCAGGCTAGCTGAAAATTATCAAAACATAAGTGACTGAGGAGGAATAAAATCCCGTTTCCATGGAAAACACGTCCATCATTACCCAGGTAGCAAATCCAAAGGAGGAAGAGAACCTTTCTTGTCAAGAAAAAGGTAAGATGATGCGACTGCTTATTGGACTGGATGTTGGATGTTTTTGTTTTGACAGCGGAATCACTGCGGCTTTGCTGTTGATGCTCTTAAGATTGTATTAATCCATAAGATTTTTTTAAATAAACATGCTAATAATAATAAATTAAATAAATTATTATTATTATTAATGTTTTATATTATTGTCGTTTTTTGTCAATTTAAAACTAAAATATAGAATTGTTGTGTTTTTTTTCTTCAATGTATGGTTCTCAGCTTCTGACTGAGAATCTCAAAACAAGTGTTTCCAGTCGGCTGCCTTCTGTTCGTGGTTTTAAGCAACAATGTATTTAATATGGATGCACTGTACTCGCTCACAGTTATTTCCCTAAGCATCAATCTTATCATGCTTCAATCCATGCTTGTGCTGGAGCCAGAGCCTCAATAAGCGGATAGAAAATATTTAAAGCCACTGAGCCTGAAATCAAAACGCTGAACTGGCTTTGCCATTCTCTGCCATTCAGGTCCGAGTTTTTGTACCAATTTCTGCTTGTCAAATGATAACCATGCATTATTGTACTGCTCAGAAATGGTTTTCTCTCTTGAAAGCAATAACTGTGGATGAAAGAATCAGTTTAACTGCTAAACATATGATGTAATTTCAGTGTAAGAGGTGGATTGCTGTTGTCTGTAGTTTGGAAGGATTGGGTTAACAGTGAAGCAGAAATGTCTTCATTTTCTCTTTGGATTTTGCAGTGCTTCTAAAGTAAGATTTATTTTACTCAATGAGTTTACCCAGCCTGGCACTTTCCCCAAGCGCTCTTGACACATTTTGAGTCGTTTTGGTCACCATCTGAAGCCCAATGTGGTAACACCCCTTGTTGTTCCTGGGATTAAAACAATATGGTATCAAATGCTTATTGAGTTCCATAGCACTTCCATGGAGCGTACTTATCCAGTTATCAGTGGCTTTTTATAATTGCTTCTTCAAGGTAGTTCTCAAGAGAGTGTAAACCCATGGAAGTCTTATGCCTGCTTAAGTCAACACAACACATACTAATGTGAGATGAAGTGATGAGATTAGCCCAAACGAATTCATGCGAGTAAATAAATCACGTAAATTATTTCCACGGCTGCTTTTCTGTGGATAACAACACAACATAAACATTTTACAGTCACTTAGAGCACAAACAGATGGTAGTCCACATGTTGGAGGGCTTACTTGACGAGAGAGGAGCAGAAGGACGAGGTCTGGTTTTGGGGCGTAAAGCACCCTCTCAGCACTCCCCTGCTGGGTAGTTGGATCAGTTGAATGAGGATACCTCCACTATGAGAGGATCACATGACAAAGGAATCCCTCATGTAACATACTTTTTATTTAGGATAAGACAGGATGCCCGCTAAGCTCGAATTCTGCCTATTAGATTCAGAGATATTTCTCGGTGCAATAATGTTGGCCTCTTATGATCGGCTCCAGAGAATAAGCTCAACGCTCTGTTTGTCAGCCAGGTGTATTTTGTTTTTTGTAAAGCAGTGGTCCTAAAAACATTTTTGTTTATACACAGCCATGTTTCAACAACCAGAAAGCACACACTCGCAAATCAAGCCATAGCTGCCAGCCTCCCACTTCTTATGGTAGTGAATGGACCCCTATAGCAACATTTAGTCATTTTTTGAACAGATTTAATGTGATTGATGATTGAAAATAATGCCCTTTAAAGAAATGTTCCAGGTTCAATACAAGTAAAACATAATCAACACAAAATAATTTCCAATTTGTTCTTCTTTTCTTCAAAAAAGTAGAATCTGGGTTGCAGTGAGACACACTGAAAGTGAATGGTTGAAGTGGAAGCAATGACCGATTCTTTCTTCCCTATTGATACATCTGAGTGGAATTGAAAAATTCACCACCAAAGATTAGAGTATCGTTTTATGAGAAGACTGGTTTGACATTTTAATTAAAAAGGTTAAAAAAAAGTTAAAAATGAAACATTTCCATGAAGGAATTGTTCACAATAAGATCAATAACCTGCATTTTGGAAATAGATAAAGATGTTTAGAAAATGTAACATTATTTTGGTGTTACAAATTGCTTTCCTGTGTAAAATTATATCAAATTGTAATACTTTACAATGCCTAAAACCCTATCGACTAAAAATGGATGGATTTAAAGCAACTTTACAGTTAAAAAAAATACAGAAGTTTTATCAGAATAATTATTGTAAGTGCTCTGTAAGCATCTCAGTTCTGTTTTTAAAACCTCCAATCGCCAATTACTTCTACTTCCTTGTTGTTTTGTCATTCCTTTACCTTAAAATCTAGTTTTTAGATGCATTTAGGGGGGCAACCACTGATATTTCATACTGTATAAGACATTTCCTTTAAATATAAGGAGTAAGGACACTTTGCTTGCTGCAGCAAGAACACCCCTTATATTTTTTGCATGGCAAGGAATTCCCATCTCCGTTGCAGCTTTTTGTGAGATTACGTTCAAAGAATCTCATTAAAAAGATGCCACTGTCTCTTATCTACAGCCAAAAAAGGATAATGAAGCATAGCTTTTGAGGTTTGTCATGCAGAAACACAACCTTCCCTTTCCAAAATGAAGCTTTGCACACTGGTCCCCTCTTATGGTGAAAAACTCTCCTAACCCAGTGGCCTTGGATGTCGGCCACACTTGCTGAATATTTCAAACCAGATGGGGCTATTTTCAGAAACCTATCGGTTTCATTGTAAGCAAAGAAGCATCTGACAAATGCATGTCGTGTTTTGAGTGCGGCGCTGGTGTTTGTGCTTATAGATTGCACCTTTATGCATAATGGATAGAGTTTAATGAAGTTGGGATTGGAATCTAATTGCTGAGGGTTTTGGGACAAACACCGTCCGTCACTGGTGATAAAGTGAATCCAGTTGTAGATGATGCACCATGCATGTGATGGATGAGGTAGAGACTTTCAGGGCTTGTTAAAAGCTTTTTAGCCTCATTCTCTAAGAGAAATTGTCTGTCAAGGTTAGGTCTCCTTCCACTTTATTTGGGAATATGCTCTCATTTTGCATTCTTGTTGCAATCTTAGCCTTGCGAACTCGATGCGGTCGGGTGTATAGTCTGGAGGCCTTTTTTGGTCTCCGAGTGAGTGTGCAGCAAATTACAAATATGTGCTCATAATTCCTGTTGATTAGAGTACACATTATGTTTGTTTGCAAGACATGAGGCCTTGTTTTGTCAGTCCACAAAAACTCATAGCATAAGCGCTAGGGAATTGGCCTGCCAGCTAATGTCAGGAAGCACATGATGACATCATACAATCAGCATGAAACACTGTTATCCAACCAACTGTAAAAACAATCCCTGTATCATCCATCTGTGGTTGATGTGCAGTCTGTTTGGTTTACTTCATGCAATTTATGGATTATTAGCTTTATGCTGGATTCACAACGTGACCCTTGAAATGGGTCATGATGGATTGTGATGAGGGAAAGTAGTTTGTTTTGTATATGGAGACACTGATGAATGATACTATATTGTGAATATAAATAAAAACTAAAAATGACTCAATTTTTAAAGAGAATTTAGGCCATTAGGACATTATAATGTATAATATAGGGCTGTCAAACGATTAATCGCGATTAATCGCATCCAAAATAAAAGTTTGTGTTGTTTACATAATATATGTGGGTGCAATGTGTATAATTATTTTATATATATATATAATACACACACATGCTTGTAAGAAATATTTTCATGTATATACTGTATATAGATTTATATATAATTTATATTATATATAAATAATTTACATATGAATAATATTTTTTCTTAAATATACATGCATGTGTGTGTATAAATATATAAAAAATAATTATACACAGTGCACCCACATACAGTATATTATGTAAACACAAACTTTTATTTTGGATGCGATTATTCATTTTGTGATTTGCCAAAGCAGTAATTTAAATGTAAAAAATAAAGGAAAATGAGCATGCACAACAACTAAATATTCAATATGATACAATACCGAAATTAAACAAAACTCTAATATCGGCCATCCCTCTTCTTATATATAGTTATCTTATGTTCACCAAGGCTGTGCTAACTGTACAAATACTGGAACTGTTTTCTATTCGAATATTTTAAAATGTAATTAATTTAATCCTGTGATGGCAAAGCTGAATTTCCAGCATCATTACTCCATTCTCAAATGTCACATGGTCCTTCAGAAATCATTCTAATGATTTGCTAGACACATTTCTTAGTAATATCAATGTTGACAACAGTTGTGCTTCCTAATATTTTTGTGGAAACTAATATATTTTCTTTCAGGATTTTTTTTATAAATATAACATTCAAAAGAACAGCATATTTGAAATAGAAATTCAATGAAAAATTTTATTGTTATACAGTAGTACATTAAAGTTTTATTTAATAATGTATTACATGTCATATAGGCTACTGTCTCAGAAATTGTGCATCTTAAAAATTCCTCTTTAAAGCCACACCCATACACAGATTCATACGGAGGACGTCTGATTAATGAAGGCGGAGGACATATTTGACAGTGAAATGCATTTATTATTATCGAGGAGACATTATAAAAGATGCCCCTGGCTTCCCCATCATGCTTTGCTCTCTATAATAGCATATTGGAACATGACGTGCTAATAGAGTTCAAAAGGAAGACTTTCCCTGGCTATCCCGAGGCTACAGATACATCCCCACGTGGGATGGGAATGAATTTAATCAAATTCACTGTACTGCTCCATGCTTTGGTGCTGCATTGCTGCTGAACTGACCAGCTTTGCTCCAATAAGTCTTAACTTTGTCAGGTATCATTGGATGATCCATTTACCTTAATCAGATTAGCAAGTCTCTGAGCGTAGATGTTTATCCCCACACCGCTCACATCGCCAGCCAATTAAAAGCTGCCTTCCACATCCTACAGAATCATACTTCAGCATGGAAGAGCGCCAACGTTGTGGTCGTAGTATGGACTGGTTGCCTTGCCTTGCTCAATAGCAAAAGG